AATATTTATTCATTTTTTAAATTCATTTAAAAACTACATAATTTTATATACATAAATCTAGTAAAATTCATTTTAAGTAAAACTTCGTTGTATCAAAAAAAATTTGCTATAGAGAAAATTCGTTATAAAAAAAGTCATTTTATATATAAATTTTTCTAACTTTAATTCGTTAAACATAGTACGAATTTTTAATTACTAAATTCAGTATAGCAAGGGTTTTTTATATTTAAAAATCTGTCTGACACTGAAAATCCGTTGTATTGTAAAATTCGTTATAGAAAGAGTTGACTGTATTAAAATACTTTTTATTAAGACTCGGATGTATACAATCATTATTCTCTAGTGTATTCGCCTTCTGATCAATTGGTGGATAATGATAGTAATAATAATATGTCATCGACGAATGACTAAATACGTGTTTATTATTTTCGTAGAATATTTAGATTTCACGTATTTTTTCATATTTTTTTTTCTTTTAATTCTTTTATATTTTTATTTCGATTATTTCGATTGATGTATCAATTTATTCATTACTATTATAAATTTATTAATATATATATCATGTTTTCAGCTAACATTATATGCGTAACTATGTAATATTACATGCATTTTTAACTAATTATACATGTTTTTCAACTAAAGTAATATTGTTATACGTGTTTTTCAATTAGCGTTAACTGCTATTGTTTTACTATATGCCGTTGCTTAACACTTAAATTGAGTTGCATAACACGTTGTTGAATTGTGTCAGTTGACATAGGGGTTATTGCTCAACACATTTTAGCATTAAGCAACACATAGTATTTGTTAACACATTAAATGCCTGCCAAAAACTTACTGATGTTTTGTCAGACTCATTTATACTTTTTCCCTAATTCTTAATAAAGAAAAGGTATAATTAATTTTTATAGTTAATCTTTGTTAGTGTTTTAGTTTGATTTACAAAGTATTTCCAAATTAATGTTTCAATTAATTTTAGATATAAGGTGAAACTAAAAGTACATTGTGAAAAGTTTCAGTTTCGCCCGAAACACTAATCCTTATTATTGTTTTGATATTGTTATATTTTTTTTTGAGATAATATATATTTGTTTAGAAAATAAATCATATTCAACTATTGAAACTTTTGGTTTTATAATAAAGTCTCAATGACAAATCATGTCTTCATAATAAAAAAATATTGAATGCATAACATTACGAATTAGTTTGGACCAGTCCGTTCACAATCCTAAAAAACCAGTTTTGAAACTGGACTAATTCAAAAAAATTCGGTCAATAAACTGGTCTGATAAGTTAATTTAGAACCAATTTTACAATCCAAACCAATTCAATAAGATATACTGATTTAAAAAAAAAATCAGTATATTATAATATTACATTATTTTCTCGATTTTCAATATCTGATAAAACATTTTGGTTCTTTCCCTGAGTTTCAGTTGTAATTTCTGATTAGCCTAAAGCTTTAATGTTTTGTTTTATGTATAAAGTATATAATTCAAGTCATCCATATTATTTTTGTTTAGTTTCAAAAGATAATCTTAATAAAATCAATTTACAAGATAATGATACCAAATTACGTACCCATGAAAATATGATCGAGCATTTTGAACAGGACACAAACCATTCAGTGTCAATTGAAAATATTTCCAATTTTTTTGAAATCTTCTGTAAGTTTACAAAATTTTATTATTTTATTTTATTTTTAATTTTTGTTTAATACTAATAAT